CTACTTCCTGTGCTTTGTGGTCCAGCAGTTTCTCTATGCAGTTACCCTCTGTGGCTGCAGGGTCCGTGACTCCACAGCCAGCTGATGGCAGCTTGAAAATGTTTGGTAAAAACACCTGCACCTGTACTGAACGTATGCAGATTTCCTTCTTACTCCCTTCATGATAGTCTTAACAAGTATTTACATAACATGGACATTGAGTTAGGTATTCCAGATAACGTAGGAATGATATAGATTGCACAGAAGAACAGGTTATCTGGATACACCATCACCCTATTTTATGCAAGGAACTTGCGCATCTGTGGCTTTTGAAATCTAAGGGGACCTTGAGACAACTCCCCCATGAACACCATGGATGCTGTATTAATATTCTGTTCAAACAATTTGTGGGCTTTCTGACATTTTCTTCGCGATCCTGACTGGTGTATCTATCTTTTGTTTTAACAATTCCATTTTTCTGCACTGTTTAGAATGCTGTTTATTGCTCCATGATACACACACACCTACACACATATATTTTCTTCATCACAGTATTTAATTTTAAAATGTTTATTTGAAAGAAAGGGTAACAGATACAAGATCCATCTACCTGCTAGTTCACTGCCAAAATGGCTACAACGGGCTTCCAACGTAGGTGCAGATCCCAAGCACTTGGGCCAGCTGGCGCTTTCTGCTGAGTGCATTAGCAGGGAGCTGGATGGAAGTGAAGCAGCCGGGATTTGAACTGGTGCTCTCACATAGGATGCAGGCAGCTTCACCTGCTGCTCTGCAGTGGCAGCATACGGCAGGCAGGTGGTTTCTTGACCACAGGTAGGTCTCATCCTGTTCAGAACTCCCTGCTTTACGTTCTCAGTTGCCATTTTGTCTAAGAAATGACTTTTTAAAAAGTGTTTATTTGAAAAATTGAAGCAGTTTGCATCTACTGTACTATCCCAGATGCCCACCATAACTGGAGGTGGGCAAAGCCGAGGCCAGGATGCAGGAGCTCCGTGTGTGAGGCTCGGTAGGTGGCAGAGATCCATGCGCTTGAGACATCACTTGCTCTTGCCAGGGGTGAACATGAGCAGGAAGCTTGAGTCAGATGCGTAGGTACCTCTGTGAATCCTTCAAGCCACAGCATAGCAAAGGCTGAATAATACGGGTTTAGGATATCTGTTCAGAAACTGATTAGTTGAGGTGACCAGAGTTGAGCACTGACAAACACTTAACTGTGTCTAAGGATTTGTTTCCATGATTTTTTTAAAGATTTATTTTAGTTTTATTGGAAAGGTGGATATACAGAGAGGAGAGACAGAGAGGAAGACCTTCCATCCGATGATTCACTCCCCAAGTGAGCACAACGGCCAATGCTATGCCAATCCGAAGCCAGGAGCCTCCTCCAGGTCTCCCACTCGGGTGCAGGGTCCCAAAGCTTTGGGCCATCCTCGACTGCTCTCCCGGGCCACAGGCAGGGAGCTGGAAGGGAAGCAGGGCTGCCTGGATTAGAACCGGCGCCCATATGGGATCCCGGGCATGCAAGGGGAGGACCTTAACCACTGCGCCATCGTGCTGGGTCCATCCGTGATTTTTTTAAACATGTTTTTTTATTTGAATGACAGAGTTATATAGAAAAGGAGAGGGAGGAGTCCTGGCACTGTGGCCTAGTGGCTAAAGTCTTCACCTAGTACGCACCAGGATCCCATATGGGCGCCAACTCTATTCCTGGCAGCCCTGCTTCCCATTCAGCTCCTTGCTTGTGGTCTGGGAAGGCAGTCGAGGACGGCCCAAAGTCTTGGGACCCTGCACCCATGTGAAAGACCTGGAGAAAGTTCCTGGCTCCTGCCTTCGGATCGGCACAGCATTGGCCGTTGCAGTCACTTGGGGAGTGAATCATCAGACGGAAGATCTTCTTCTCTGTCTCTTTTCCTCTCTGTATATCTGACTTTGCAATAAAAATAAATAATGAATCTCTAAACAGAAAAGAAAAGGAGAGGGAGGAAGAGAGGTCTCATATTTGTTCTTTCCACAACTGACCACAACCAATGCAGCTGAACTGTTCCAAAAGCAGGAAAAAGGTGCTTCTTCTGGGCCTCCTATGTGGGTGCAGGGTCCCAAGAACTTGAGCTGCCTTCTGTTGCTTTGCTAGATCGTACGCATGGAGCTGGATGGGAAGTCGAACAGCAAGGACACAAACCCAGTTGCTTGCTGGCATTACAGGTAGAGACTTAGCTGACTGTGCTGTGGCATCAGCCCCAATGGTTCCAGAATTTTTAATTTAGCGCTTGCTTAGTGGAATCTGTCTGCAGTTTTCTGCCTCCTCAGAGCTCAGGAGTCCGTCCAGCTTGGAGTTAGGGTCCTGGTGCCAATATTAACTGTAGCCAGTACTCAGCAACACCCGGGTGTCTCCTTTGATGTGATAGGAGCCTGATTGGTGCCTTGTTGTCGCTGATGCATCCACATAGTTTATATTTTGATTGTTCCCTTACCATGCCTCCCAGGGTCTTTTAGTCTTTAATCTTTGTGCCTCCATGTTGGGGAGTCCTCACTGGCTCTTGTTGGTGTCCTTCCCAGGACTTTAGGTGTCAGTTAATAGGATAGCAATCTGCCCATGTGTGTGAGATTTCTTAGAGTCTTGCAGCCTTCTCGGGTATGGAGTCTCCAGCCCTATGCTGCAGCGTTGATACAAGATATGTGTGTTTGTCCATATACATATATAATTATAATGTTTAGTATGTACATATTGTAAATATGAAAAATAAAAGTACTACAAACATGCAGATTATTAAATATTTTAATAACATAAATTATATACTTATATGATTATAGGAATTAAAGAGATTATAGAAATTATAAATATAGACTTAGAAGTTACAGGAATGATAAATATCCATGGAAATCATAAATATAGAAGTTATAAATACATTTTGCATTTTATACAGAATTACAGTATAATGTATTGTTTAATATACTAATATGTATTGATAATATGTTTTTAATGATTTCTTTCCCTGAGAGAGCAGGAAGAGGGGTGGGAGGACTTCACCCTGTTTTTTTTCAACTTCTTGAATAGTTACTGTGGTAAAATGTAGAAATTACCCTAAACGAAGCATTATCACCTTTCCTACAAAGGAGAGAACAAAGAATTAGCTGATAAATGCAATGTCCTGGGATTCTCCATTCGAATCAAGGCAGACTATCTGGTGTGGTCAAAAGTGCCACAATTTAACAACACAGAGGCTTCCTTTGGAAAACCAAGCAGTTTCAAGGAAAAGGAAAAATACGGCAAAAATAAAAACCAAGACAAACGGAGGCCACAGTAAACACAGCTCCTTTTGTATTGACAAGTTAGTATCTTGTACCTAAGGATCATCGTTGCTTGAAGATCAAGTACATTTGATGTAGTTCTCTTGAATAACCAGTTCAGTGGAGAAAGAATTTTTGTTAAATTTCCTTTGGAGCACCAGAGGACAGTCTGTAGTTGACTCGTGCTGGGACTCTTTCTAATTCTGAGGGATGCTGGTGGTATCTTCCCTCTCAACATTGTAGCTAGTCTTATGACCTTCATCAGACTTGGAGCCGAAAGTTCTGCATCAGCATTGTTGCAATTTTCCTATTCTGGGGTAGACAGGAAATCACAGTGGAGATGTGAGAAGGTACATCCTGCTGCCTGCCTGTAATGCAAGCCCTTTCGAGATCTCATACCTTGCCCATCCGCTTGAAGCTTTTAAGATGCATGGCTCTGCTACTGGCAAGACACTGGTTGCCTCAAGGAGGGAAGACGTGATGAGTACAGTTCTGCAGAAAGTGGCTACACGTGTTGCTGCGCTTGTCATTCACTGAATGTATTTATACAGTTTATAACGATGTAACGGATTCATGAGCTCTGCTTTTTGCAGGGAATATATTTCATGTTATCGACAGCACTGAAGAACATTAAATCAATAAATCCACAACCTGTAATTTGAGATACTCGATTTGAAGAAAAATACGTTGTCAGAAAGGGGGAGAGTAATCTTTTCAGTTGAGAACTGCACAAGCTGTTTTGGTTCTAGCATCCCATTCTTTTCAGTGAAAAGAGGACTTACTCTTGTGCTGCAAAATTATCAAAGTGTTCTTTAGGATACCTGCAAAACTGTTCAGGTTGACTCTTTGTAATGAAGCCGAGACTGCAAAGGAAAGCAACGCTAATAAAGCACCTTTCTTCTTGCTGAGCTGTCTGACCATGTGTGTCCTCCTCCTGAGCGCTGGTTCACACTTAGACTGGGTGTCATGGGCTCAGTAACTTCTTTTCATCCCTGGTGTGAATGCTCTGTGGCCATTGGTGAGCCAATTAACCTCTCCACGTGTCAACCCTTCCATGTGTAAAAGGTTAATAGTGCATCTTGTTTGCAGGGTGCCTCAAGCCTTCCATGAAGGACACTGTCTAAATACTCAGCATTTCTGTTTGTTATATATTTTAATTATGTGTTTGGTTGGCTAGGTTATAGATTTTGTTGTGGTTGAATGTCACCCCTTCTCCCTGGTTACAAATAAAAAGACCAATAGGTGATCTCACTCTGTTATTATCTTCTAGAGTCCCCTAGAGGGTTAAGGGATGACAGAGGTTATAGATTAATAATACATTCTTTAGTTAATAAAAAAAAATTCATGTGCATCTCAACCGCATAATAACTGTGGATGGCAATATATTAGTCCAAGTGTTTCATTAGATGCCAGGTGGATAATGCTGGCAAAGACACAGGAAATGATGAGGGTTTATTATTTTTTCCCCCTGATCCTCTGATAATTCTTTTCTCTGCATCAATCTGGAGCATTAGGAGCAGTGTTGCTAAGGCTTACTTCAAATGTGTTTGTGAATACTTGGGCACATGATTCACTTATTCTGCAACACTGGGGGGAAGAAAAGTGATGTTTGTTTATATCAACTAGTGGCACTAAGTTGACTATTACATTATATTTGAAAGAAATGTGAAAAATGCAGGCCCAAAAGCCAAGTATGGTATATTTATGCTTCTTTGCAGACTTACGAAAAAATTTTGAGCAAGATCCTCAAGGAAGAGAGGTTCCCATTGAAGGCATGATTGTGCTGCATTGCCGCCCACCAGAGGGAGTCCCTGCAGCCGAGGTAAGACTCTATTGGGACCAGACTGTCCTCTGTTGTCCCCATGACTTGTTTTCTTGCTGCCTCGTCCCAATGGTGGAGGGTGATGCAGACACTGGGAAGGGAATACGCAGGAAGGACTTGCCTGAACTTGCCTTGTTGACCCAGAGTTCTTGCTAGACTGACTGAATATTTCTTACTTCTGGTGACCTCTGATCCCATGGCTATTGTGCTCTGTATCCTTCAGAACTCTCTGCTGTGCACATTGGTATCAGCTTCACCTGTGAGCCTCAGCAGGCAGAGTTGCAAGAAAATGTGTATGGAGAAGAAGGGGAATCCATAGTCCCTTCTTCAGTGTCCATGGGGCAAGCATTCCCTGAGATTTTTGTTGTCTTCTAGGCATTGTGCTACTGTGTGGGGGGGTGGGGTGGGGGAGGAGGTTATAAAATGTGATAACTGGCTTACATTCTAGTTACCTTCATATGGTAAGGCCTCAAGCATTCCATGTCTTGGTGTTTGCGGATCCTGGTATGTTTTTTTGGAACTTCTACCATACTGTTGAATGTAATTGTGAATAACATATAGTGGGTATGGATTTTATGGTATAGTCAGTTAAACTGCATTTTGGGATGTCAGCACCACATACCAGAGTACTAGTTTGAGCCTCAGCTGCTCCACTTTTGATCCAGTTTCCTTACCGATGTGCCTGGGAAGCACTGGATGTTATCGTCAGTATTTCAGGCCTGGTCTTCCATATGGGAAACCCAAATGAAGTACCTGACTTTGGCTAGATCTAGTCCTGGCTGTTGCAACCATATGGGGAGTGAATGGAAGCTGTTCGTCTCTACTTGTTTCTCTGTCACTCTGCCTTTCAAATCAATGATTTTTTTTAAATGTAACATAGATGATCATTATGGAAGATTTTTTTAAAGTCTTTCAATCCCTATTGAAGGGTGTTTTAATTGACTCTCAATGTGCTTATTTTAGCAGAAAAAAAAATAAGCAATGCAAAAAGTGCCTAGTAGAATGGTAAGTTTTTAAACAGGCTTGAGTTTAGCAGTAGGTAGTCCAGTTGTGGTTCTTGGATGAAAAGCTAGGAAACTGTCTTTGGAGCTATTATTTAGTCACTGAGAAGTTGGGATCCTAAAAAAAGACCTTGCTTCACATTTTAACTAAAATAGTTATGGGATTTTATAATTGGATGAGCAAAGAAAGAGATAGAGGAATGGAAAAACACATACTGGCAGGCTGAGGCAGAGAGCGTGCTGGGTGGACACTTTCAAAGCTCAAATGGTTCACAGAAATGAAGCAAACGGACTTGAAAATTAAAGTGAACACTCCATGCATGATATGAAATGATTAGAAAGGAAAATGCTTATTTTTAGATTTTTACTTAATGTGAAGCAAAAAAATATTGATCTTCTTTTGCTGTGTTCTGGTCTGCTGCCAAGAGTGTACCCACACATCCCCAAGCAGGGTGTCAGGTGCATGGAAAGATGTACCTGTCTCACTTAGGACATCCCCAATACTCCAGGCTCTTCAGTTGCTACACTAATCATCTCTCAAAATCCTAATCTGCAAATTTTATGTGCATAAAAATGGCCTCTGTCATCCCCCCCGTGAGCCAGTGTTCTGCTGTGCCCACATTTCCTTCCGTTTCTGTGCTGGATCACTGTCAGGGAAAGGGTGAAGACAAAGGGGGCTGGTAGCAATCCGTCTGTAGAGACGTAGCCTGCTTTAGGTGTCCTGCAATTGATTTTTACAGCTGGATGAAAGTTTAGACATTTATTTGTGCTAACTTCCAACTATAGCCATTTTTCCTGAAGGTACCTCAAGTATTCAAGGTAGCACTGCGTGTTCTTTTGTTGTCTCATGAAGTCCAATGTGCTTTGCTTTATTGCTTACTGCTAGCTTAGCATGTGCTACTCTGCTCCAGGTCAAGCTATGGCCTTTACCCTGGCCTACTCATGATACAGTGTACCACCCATGTGCCTTCTTTAGGACCAATGTACATGCTAGCCTCCCTGTGCCTTCCTTAGAGCTTTACGCACATGCTGGTTTCCCAGGTGGAACACCCTCCTAGTTGTGACAATGCTGTCTCCCTTTTCCCTTCGAGGTTTGTTTAAGTATCGCCTAACTAAAGGAGCCCTGCACTAGACACTCTGTTGAAAATATCACTTCATCTTTCCACACCTGTACCTAAGAACCATTTTGCCAGCTCTATGTTTTCTATTTATTTTATCACAAATATACTTCTTTTCTGCCCATACTTGGGTCTACCCATACTACTGTCTACTTATTGACATTTAAGTTCTATGAGGGGAATTTTTGTTTGTTTGTATATTATCTCTGCTATATCAATAGAACATAGATCATTGCTTCTCATGGCTGTTGTCAAAAAGGTGAGCTGAGTGGGTGTTGGCAGGGATAAGGAGAAAAGGAAGCCTCCGTGTATAATTGGTGGGAATGTAAAGTGTGGAAAACCATGTAGGGCTTCTTCACCAAATGACAAACAGAGCCACCATGTGACCTAGGAGTCCCACAATTCAGATGTGTGTATCTACACATATGTGTATAGATAAAGGTATGTATGTGTGTTGCATGTATGTACATATTTGCACGTATGCATGTGTATATATCCAAAGGAAATGAAATCAGTGTAATGAAGAGAACTGATACTCCCATGCAGCACTGTTCCCATCAGCCGAAGTGTAGAGTCAATCTCAGATGATGAGACAAAGAAAATATGCATAATATACACAATGAATATGCACATAATGAATATACACAAGGAATCTTCCCATTGTGAGCGTGTAGATAAACCTTTAGGATGACATACTGGGTGAGCCAGGAATAGAAAGACAGTCATCATGTGATCCCACTTCTTTGTGGAGTTGACCTCATACAAGTAGAGTTGAATGAGGGTTACCACAGGGAAGATGCTGTTTAAAGTATCTAATAGCTTCTGTTAGAAGAAATAAATCCTGTAACTCTGTTGTGCAATATAGTCATTATAGCTAATAAGAACATATTATGTACTTGAAAATTGCTTAAAAGGATTTTTAAGTGTCCCCACCACAAAAATGTAAGTATGTGAAATAGTGCATGTTAAATAGCTTAAATAAATACATATCATGTATCTGCATAAGAAATAATTTTTTTTTTTTTTTTTTTATTATTGTTGCTTACATTGTATTGTGTAGTACAGTTTCATAGGCACTGGGGATTCCCCCCACCCCTCCCATACCCCTCCCCCCATGGTGGATTCCTCCACCTTGTTGCATAACCATAGTTCAAGTTCGGTTGAGATTCATTGCTTGCAGACACATGCCTAGCATAAAGTTCAGCGTCTTATTGTCCAGATAAGTTCAGTGGCCTCTTGGGGAGACCTTCTATGGTCTGAAAATAGGTCTAACAGAGTAAAGATCCAGTCAGTTAAAAGCCCCAACGAGGCCACAGTATCAATATACAACATTATGGAATTAATTGACATAGTATTGGGTAAACAATATGTTAAAAATAATGCAAGTTCCCTTCTTCGAAACATCTGGGTTGAGACAGTATCAATGACAGGTTCAAAAAAAAAAAAAAATAACAAACAACCAAACAAAAAATTACAGGTTAAATCAAGGCAAACATGTGGTATCTAATCTTTTGGGATTCGCTCATTTCCCTTAGCATTATAGTTTCCAGTTGTACCCATTTAGCCACAAAGAACTGCATTTTGTTTTTTTTAATAGCTGAGTAGTATTCCATGGAGTAGATGAACCAAAGCTTTCTTATCCAATCTTCTGCTGATGGGCATTTCGGTTGCTTCCATGTTTTTGCAATTACTGATTGTGCTGCAATGAACATAGGGATGCATGTTGGTTTGTCGTAAAACAGGTGTTTTGGATATATTCCTAGGAGTGCTATTGCTGGGTCATATGGTATGCAGATTTTGAGTTGTTTGAGTGTTCTCCAGACTGATTTCCATAAAGGCTGTACCAATTTGCAGCTCCACCAGCAGTGGAGTAGGGTTCCCTTTTCCCCGCATCCTCGCCAGCAAGCGTCGTTGGTGTTCTTGTTTATGTGGGCCAATCTTACTGGTGTTAGGTGGTACCTCATCGATGTTTTAATTTGGATTTCCCTTATTGCTAGGGAGCTGGAACATTTTTTCATATGTTTGTTTGCCATTTGGACTTGTTCCTTTGTGAAATGTTTGCCCATTTCCCGTGCCCATTTCTTGAGTGGCTTGTTTGTTTTGGTTTTTTGGTTGTTTTGAAGTTCTTTATATATCCTGGAAATTAGCCCCCTATCGCCTATATCGTGTGCAAAGATCTTCTCCCACTCTGTGGGTTGCTTTTTTACTTTGTTGATTGTTTCCCTTGCTGTACAGAAGCTTCTTAGTTTGATGAGGTCCCATTTGTTTATTCTGTTCTCAACTGCTATTGCTTTTGGTGTCCTTCTTAGAAAGTCGGGACCTACTCCTAGGTCTTGCAGGGTATTTCCTACATTTTCTTGCAAGAGTTTGAAGGTTTCTGGATGTAGGTTTAGGTCTTTTATCCATGTAGATTGGATCTTAGTGTATGGTGATAGATGTGGGTCTATTTTTTTGTTTCTACAGGCTATCAGCCAGTTGTCCCAACAACATTTACCAAAGAGGCCTTCCCACTTGCTTGAGCTGTCATTGGTCTTTTTGTCAAAGATTAATTGGCTGTATTTGTGTGGGTTCCCTTTTGGTGCTTCTATTCTATTCCATTGATCTTCCTTTCTGTCTTTGTGCCAGTACCAGGCTGTTTTGATAACCACTGCTCTATAGTATGTCCAGAGGTCCGGGATTGTGATTCCCCCTGCTGACTTCTTATTTTTCAGGATGGTTCTAGCTATTCGTGGTTTTTTGTGCTTCCAGATGAACTTTTGAATCATTGTATCCAGTTCCGTGAAGAATGTTTTGGGCAATTTGATTGGAATTGCATTGAAAATGTATATTGCTTGTGGTAGTATAGACATTTTAATGATATTGATTTTGCCTATCCAGGAGC